GTAACTTCCTTGCCCTGCGCCAAGCATGAAATAGCTGCTTCGCTCTCCACCACCAGCCGCACCGCCTACACCAGCACCAGCTGTACCACTTTGTCCGGCACCACCTGCACCAACTGGACTAGCAGATTTGCCGTAGCCGTTTTGCCCTGCGCCCACCATGAAATAACTGCTTCGTTGTCCAGCCTCAGCTGAACCGCCCACGCCAACACCAGCTGTTTTACCTTTTCCAGCGGCTGAACCGACCTCGGCTGAACTGCCTGCACCAACACCAGTTGTTCTGCCTTGTTCAGCGGATCTACCGTAACCTCCCTGTCCTGCGCCGGCCAGGAAATAGCTGCTTCGCTCTCCACCACCAGCCGCACCGCCTACACCAGCACCAGCTGTACCACTTTGTCCGGCACCACCTGCACCAACTGGACTAGCAGATTTGCCGTAACCGTTTTGCCCAGCGCCCACCATGAAATAACTGCTTCGTTGTCCAGACTCAGCTGCACCGCCTACACCGACACCAGCTGCTTTACCTTTTCCAGCGGCTGAACCGGCCTCAGCTGATCTGCCTGCGCCAGCACCAGCTGCGCTACCTTTTCCAGCAGATGTACCGTAAACTCCCTGTCCTCCACCAACTATAAAATAGCTACTTTGCTCTCCGGACCCAGCCGCACCCCCCTTGCCAAAATCAGCTGCACCACCTTGTCCAGCAGATTTGCCGTAACCTCCTTGCCCTGCGCCAGCCACAACTTCGCTGCTGCGCTGCTCAGCACTAACTGCACTGCCTACGCCAGCACGACTCGCACTACCTTGTTCAGCAGATTTGTCGTAACTTCCTTGCCCTGCGCCAGCCACAACTTCACTGCTGCGCTGCTCAGCACTAACTGCACTGCCTACGCCAGCACGAGCCGCACTATCTTGTTCAGCAGATTTGCCGTAACCTCCTTGCCCTGCGCCAGCCCCAACTTCGCTGCTGCGCTGCTCAGTACTAACTGTACCGCCTACACCAGCACGAGCCGCACTGTCTTGTTCAGCAGATTTGCCGTAACCTCCCTGCCCTGCGCCAGCCATAGCTTCGCTGCTGCGCTCTTCAGCACTAACTGCACCACCTACGCCAGCACGAGCCGCACCATCTTGTTCAGCAGATTTGCCCTGTCCTCCACTACCCAGTACGTATGCACTTTGCTGTCTCTCTCCAGCTAATCCAGTACTATCTGTGCCGCCTCGTTCAGCAGACTCACCATATTTTCCTTTCCCTCCACCGACGATGCAGTAATTACTTGGCTCAGTACTACCTCGAGCGCCTGCTGAGCCAATATCTGCATCAGCACTACCTCCAGCGGTAATCTCTTCCTTTGCAGTTTTGGTACCCCCAACTGGGCCTATTGGTAGCAGTGCCGTTTTCGCCCCAGCAGAATCGTCTATAACAGGAGCAACTGCTGTATTCGCTTCGATCTCTTTACCAGAACTTGGTGGTGTCTCGACTCCGCCTTTGCTGACTTCGGCTTCATTTTTATCCTCTGAAATTAAAATTATCATTTGATTGTCATGCTGAAGAAATCGCATTTTTTTTACTAGCTATTTTCTCTTAAAAAAGATAAAAATGGCGCCCACGTCTCTTGAGTGTGCAGGAGTGGTAATCGATAAACACAAGTGAAGTAAAAACTGATGTGATTCCAAGTATCTAAAGAGGCACCATGCATGGGTAATCTAAATAAAGTGCAGAATGCTTACGATTTGTTTACTGGGAGATGGTGAATTATGGTTCATGCAGCTGTGCATTTAGGCATAAAAAAGAACAAAACTTATTATGTATACGTCATACTGTAACAAATGCATAAACAAAGGAAATAATCATTGGCGACGCGCACTGGGCGAGCCCGTGTGTTTTTGCAGTATTTTGTTCTCTAATGAAATCGCTCGGAAACCCAGTAACCAGAATGTGTGACATACTGATCCGCGAAGTTCGGGAGTTCGGGAGGTTACTTGTCTGCGCGGTAGTCAATTGTCTACGCGGTACAGAGAACATTCCGTTAAAATTCAGCCTTACAACTTTAGTGGTCTTACTTAGCAATTTTTCTGCCAAAAAATTTCATGGGTCCACACGTAAAAACCAAACGTATTGGGGGGGCTAAATTTGATATGTTTAACTTTTACAGAAGGTTGGGAACATAACCCTAAAATTTCAGCTCCAGCTTTCCTGGTTCCCGAGTTAGCCATTTTCCCGCCTAAAATTTTTAAGGAACCTACGTGACAACCATGTACACCGAGTGGCTTAATTTGATAACTTTAGGTTACACTTTCGTTGAAAAAATCCCCTAAAATTTCAGTCTCTTGGCTTTTCTGGCTCCCAAGTTAGTGATTTTCGTGCCAGGATCTTATGGAGCTGCACGCGGGAACCACGCACACCTGGTGACTGAATCTGAAATCGTTCAGTTCTATCTGAACGGGAAGCAACTTCGGAATCCCAGTTTTCTAGCTTTTCTGGTTCCCGAGTTAGCGATTTTCCCCCCAAACTTTCACGCCTTCGTGTGCGGAGCCTAGGCGTGCATGAGGATTGGTGCCGCGGTCTTGAGGCGGCACTTGGGTAAGAAACCCACTGGCAAAATTTTGGAGCCGGAGCTTCTTGGTTGTCGAGTTGAAATACCCAGACAGGCGAATACACAGACACACAAACACATACACACAAAAACGTACACATACGCCGGAGTCGTTACAATATGCGTTTTTGCTCACGCTTTGTTCTACCTTTCCTTCAACTCGTTTTGGTATTAGAATTGCAATAGGCGAGCTAGGAACCGCTACGAATATCTGGCATCAGAAAAGAAGTCGCCACTGCACGGCCTGAATTTTTCGATATGCAATCATGACTGTAGGATACTGCAGAAAAGTGAAACATAAACACGAAAGACTGGATATCGGTAGACTGGAGATTGATGGATTTCTAAACAGAAGATTCCACTCGTTATTTCTTTGTTAATGATGCATATGGCGGGGATCACAAGGAAGGACGACTAATCAAGGCTTTTTGGAAGAGGACATTGGCGTGATAACGGCGACGAGATGCGACAGCAAGGCAGACCGACTAAAGGTTGGAAAAATGTAGTGCACCGATTGATGCGGCATGGGGACAAGATGAGCGATCTTTGGTTTGGAGCTCGGCGAAAAAGGGAAAAAGAGAACCGATCGACAAAATCCAGAAGAAACCCAGGCTGGAACGCCTCAGAGGGGCCGGTGCGATCATGCGTTTTTGCACTATTTCGTGCTGCAGCGAGACTGCAATGGATCACAGTAGCTAGAATTATTGACATCCAGCCCCTCGAAATTCTGGAAATTAGCTGTGCAGCTATGTAGCATATCGGCTGCGGAAGTCGGCTTCAGTGACCTGACAAATGGAAAGTTGTTGGTGCGCAAAAAAGACCTCACTAGAAGTGTTGAATTTGAAATTTAGTCGCACAAGAACAGAAAACATTCTCTTAAAATTTCAACCTTTCAGCTTTTCTCGTTCTCAAGTTAGCAATTTTTCCGCTAAAACTTTCGCGTGCCTGCAGTGAGATACGAGCGTTTCTAGGGGACTGAATTTGAAGCCTTCTGATCGTACATGAATAGTGAACATTCCCCTAAAGTTTCAGCTTCTTAGCTTTTCTTGTTCCGGGTTATCGGCTTTCCCATCAAAATTCTCACATACCCGTACGTGAGTCCCAGGCAGTCCCAAGCAGCTGAATTTGAGAACTTTTAGTCACACATGAGTGTGGAACGGTCCCCTAAAGTTTCAGCTTTCTAACTTTTCTCGTTTCCAAGTTAGCGACTTTCCCGTCAGAACTTTCACGTGTTCGTACATTAGACACAGACGTGCATGACAGTTGATATCAGATTCCTGGTGTCGCACATGGCCAGGAAACACACTGGTAAAATTTCAGCATCAAAACTTGCGTGCTTGAAGAGTAGAAATGCCCGGACAGACGAACAAACACACACACGCACACAAACATACACACACACACACAGATGGGATCGTCGCAATATGCGTTTTGCTGCCTGTTGCAGCGCTGTAGTACTGCACAGCAAAAAAGCATAAAAAAAGGTTGCATAAATTGGTAAAAGGCTACCTTTGAACATACTAAAAACTTTGTTGCGGGATAGCGGCAGCTAGCCGCCCAGCTTCTAGAACACATGGATATTATGGAACAGTGCTATGTTGAGTTTGTTTTTGTGAAGTCCTTGTCCACATTAGGTTGTACTGTGTTGAAACATTTTAACTGATCCATCGCTGCACGCGTATCATTTAGTCAAAGGCTACACGCAGCTGTTCAGCACGATTTATCCAAGATCCACGATTTATCTCTCTTAGAAAATTGACAGGGGTCAAGTTGATGTGTAAGAACGACAAAGAACTAGGCTCAGTACCTGGCATAAAACAAAAACAGAGCAAAACAGGAAGCGGTTGGGTCTATTGTCAGTGGATGAATTCAAAAATCACTTTTTCATTTGCACTGTTCTAGCCAGTATTGTTATACCTATTTTTGTACAGATTTTAATAAAACCCGTAATTTGCATTTACAATAGCTAACGACACCGAGAAGAGTGGAAAGTTGCATACTAGACTCCGGTCTGCGCCAAGATATGAATCTGTATAGGCAGTTTCAGCGCTGTCTTAAATAGCTCCGTGTAGAAATAACCGGTACTGTAGCTTTAAATATGAAGATATGTGCATGCCCGCCCGTTATACGGCATCCATTTTTACTCCGTTACCGACATTGTAGGGG